AGTGAAAGTAAAGCATGTATACACTGCATATGAGTGTTCTACATGAAAAATATAAATGAATAATTGAACACATTGCAAAATCAAAGTCATTATTTTTAACAAAACGGAAAAAAACATTAAACCATTTGTCATGGTCCTCCTGAATCTAAATTCACAGAAATTCACATCCAGTATGGCAGCTGAAAATATCGTCCTCCCTGTGTACATAGCAAGAATCATATCTTGTACATAAAATATGATGACAACTATTTACTCACGTTTGTCTGGTAAATTCCTGAGTCAACAATTTCTTCACATCTCCAAATACTTCATGACTTTTACTGGATGCAATTAGAAATAAACAAATTTATGGGTATAATACTGTCATATGAATACAATACCGGTACTCAATCATAGATACAATACTCATCCACATGGATACAATACTCAATCACATGGATAAAATACTCACATGGATAAAATACTCACTCACATAGATACAATACTCAATCACATGGATAAAATACTCACTCACATGAATACACTACTCACTCACATGAATACACTACTCACTCACATGAATACAAAACTCACTAACATGGATACAATACTCACTCATATGGATACAATACTCACTCACTTGGATACATTACTTACTCACATGAATACAAAACTCACTCACATGGACACAAACTCACTCACATAGATACAATACTCACCCACATAAATACAAAACCTACCCACATGAGTACAAAATTCACTCACATGGATACAATACTCATTTCACATGGATACACAACTCACTCACATGGACACAAAACTCACTCACATAGATACAATACTCACTCACGAAAATACAAAACTCATTCACATAGATACAAAATTCACACTCACATCGGTACATTACTCTCACATGAGTACAATATTCACAAACATGATTACAAAATTCAATACTCACCAACACAGGTACAAAACTCACTTACATGGTTACAATACTCACTCACATGGGTACAATATTCACTCACATGGATACAATACTCACTCACATGAATACAATATTCACTCACATAGATACAATACTCACTCTTTATAAATTCCAAGTTTCTTTAATGAATGCCAAAGTGAAACTGCGAAAAAAAGAACAATATTACCACCATTTTGTTGACATAAGAAAGCAAACATGTTGGCTTTATGTATGCATGTATAAATTTAGCTAAGCTGGAATTCTGTGCTCTGTTTAAGAAGCCAAAAAACTACATTCTATGTTTTGGTAACCCTAAAAGTTTATTATGCAAATGAGATCAACCAATATTTATTTATAGGCAAGAACATACTAGAACAAAACAGGCCTTTCTTTTTGAAAATGGCTGCGGAGTGAAAAATAGCTTTCCTAAAAGCACTGAAGTTATAGAAGTAACTCCAATGTGCTGAGAAATAATGTGTTCTTTTTTCAATTTTTTAGCTTCCTTTGGTGAAATGTTGTGCAAGCGATCACTCAACATGGAAAAGGAAATGTTCCGACATAATTTAATAACTTACACAACATTATGATCAGGAACAGTATGGTCAGATAAAAAAACACTCAAAACTGCAACAATCAAAAGACTACATCCTTTTCACACTCTTGACTTGGTGCTTATTTATAAACACTAGCATTCAGGTAAACTTCCATCTGTTCATTATAATTTTTCAATTTCAAGTTTTTAGAATACAATGTTATGTTGATATTTTAAACAAGTAATCAATGCACTGCACTGCAACACTGCAATCTCATTTGTTTGGTAGCATTCATCATCTAATGCTATTTCGAGATTCTTGAGTACATTTGGCATTATGATTGGTGAACAACCAGTTTGACCTATGAGGTCAAATGGTGCAGGGATTGATACATAATCCAAAACACAGCTTTTATTGAATGTTATTTACTTACATTCTGTTATTACACTGCCACTCATAAATATTATACTCAATACGACCATTAATAAACCCATTTTTGGCTCATCAGGGGAACTGTAATATTATAAGAATACATATATCTATTAACATAAAGTGAAAACAATAGAATGCATGCCTTCCTTGAATGCGTGTCACATTCAAACATGTTTATTTGTTTACATTAAAGCGTGGCTCTGCAATCCCAGGGATTGCACGACTGCGTCATGGGAAATTTAATTTGCATGGTCCGCCCAGTTGTTTACTTGGTAGACAGCTGTTATCATTTCAACTGAAGGCATTAATTCTGTAAGCTAACAATCATGCACTACGCTATTATCTGATTTGAAAGAACTTATTAAATCGCATTTTTCAGCGCTCACCAGGCCCACGCAATCTTTTGGGACCAATTTTCTGCATTTCTACAGGTACATCGTACTTGTAACATGTGACTCATGAGGAAAATTGTTTTAAATAAACCTTCGGCAAAAATCCTTTGCCGAAAAAATCCGGTGGTAAACGGTGACCGAAACATACAATCACCGCTTCTAACTTGAAAAGATCAAAACGACATGGTAATTGTTGTCAATGCTTCCACAAAATGACTGACACAATAAAAACAATGGAATACCCTGTTACTGTACATATTGTCAATTACTTGCATCATGGAGCTCTTTAACTAGTTCCGTGCTTTATTTCAATGACCTAAACAATGCAGTTATAGCACAGTACAACGTTTGCCATAATGTGTCTTGTCGGCTAGGCAATAATGACGTTAAGCAACATGAAACAAGACATGAAATGTCACAGTCCCCGTTATTTGATTATAAAGTACAGGTAGTACAAGGAACATCTGCAAACAGGTGAATAAATATGTACTCTTTGTGGGTACAACTCATCATAAAGTGATTTCCCATAATCTACTTTTGTACAACTAAAAACTTCCACTGACCCATGTTCAGAATCTCAGAGTACATAAGTGCAACAAAACTATTTGTCATACATGTATACTTGCTCAAGAAACTGCATTCATAAATCTGAGTGAACCTTGATGTACATGACTTCTTTGTTAATCAAGTCTTAGTATATTACCA